TTTTTACAATATTTACATACCGCACGAATTTCTATCTCACATGTTTTTGGATTTGGTCGGGGCTCCTCGGTGAAATGCTGCCATGCCGGAGAAGTTCGCGGTCTTTTTCCTCTACTGCGTTCTCCAGCTTCCTCGTTGTATACTGAAGCATTATCCACCAGAGCATTTTCTGGTTCAGTGGGGGTGGGGTCGGAAGGCATCATTTCTTCTTCAAAAAATGTCTCCTCACCAAGCTCAGGAAGAGCAATGAAATCAGGGAAGTTTGGTGAGGCCATTTTCTGAAAATTGATAGAACTTGATTGAACTTTGTAAATGAAAAAGCTAGAAAATGAATGAACGCGAGAAAAAAGCTTAGAATCAAAATCAAAGAGACAAGTTGAGAGATAGAATGAGAGTGAGATGAGAATATGAGAGTGAATTATTGTGTGGGATTTATGGTGGAATTAAGGGGTATTTATAAGGGATTTTAGGGTTGAAATTTGGTTTTTTTTCCGTGTGGCACGTGACGGGCCTCCCGTTTGGCCCATCACGTGCCCAACGGGAGGCACATAACGGGCCAAACGAGAGGCCCGTCACGTGCCGAACATTGGGCCCGCGAAGGGCCCCCTAGACCAAATGAAATGGGCTTCTTCGTGGGCCGTTTCGCGGGCCTGGGCCGGGCCGAATAAGGGCTTGGGCCGGGCCGAATAAGGGCCGTGCCGCGGGCCTCCACGTGCTTGGGCCGCAGGCTGAGAAGTTGAGGCCCAGCCCTAGTCCATTACACGTGCCGTGCCGGCACGGCCCGTAACAGTAACGAACCGGGCCGTGCCGAATCAGGCACTATTATGGGCTGGGCCAAGCCATCCATGGACGGCCTGGCCCATTTGACACCTCTAGTTATATACCGAGAAATTATCTAAATCTAAAGTCATATTAAAATCTCGAGCTTAAAAAGAACTCAAATTCTAAAATATATCCTTGCAATTCCTCATATGGTCATATACTTAGAAATTTTCCAAAAGACAAAATTAAAGTTTGAGAACTACGATTGACTTGATTTCATATCGTATACATAGGCAACCTAAAATATAGGTGCAATTTGAAGATCAAATCAAATCCTAAAATCCTAATGAGATAAATCAAATAAAAATCAAATAAAAATCAAATTTTAAAATGCGTCAATTTCTCAGAGGATCATACATCGGGGAATTATTCAAAATAATTAAATTCAAAACTAAACTATAAATGACTTGATCCCTAAACGGGGTATGTAGGTAACTCGGTTAAATTTTCTGAGCTCAACTGCAATCTTAAATCAACCCAAATGCATAGAAAATAGAACTTGTCATTTCAATTGAAATCAAAAGGTTTTCCCTTGTACTAAGGGATTATAATTAAGAGATTATTTATATAATTTTGAATGAGTCGAACTAAAAATAATAAATTCCTATACTTATTGAATACTAATATAGGTGAAATTATATTATGTGAAATATTATTAAATATTTTTGCTCAACATAGTTTTCCATCATCAAGGACAATGGTACTTAAATATAATGTTCCATTTAGTTTGTTATGTGATATAAAAATCCGTTAAATATAATGTTACTATTAGTGTGTTAATAGGAAGTTGTTATCATATAATTAAGTTATTCTAAATAATTAGTTATTTTCTCTGCCAAAAAACGTAAACTGGTAATAAGACTGTACATAGTGTGTCCCTCAAATTTTCTACAATTTTAAATATTTAATTATTATGAAATTGTTAATTGTGGGGCTCAAAGCCCTTAATTATATTATGGGGTACACACCCCTATGTTTTATTTTATATATATTGTTGGGCTCATGCCTAAACCAATCGCATGGTGTCTCGGTGATCTGCATGGCGTTTATTAGCAATTGCCGCTTGGCAACGATTCACTTAAATTAGTATTATTAACATTCCTAATATGAATTATTAATAACCCTAAACTACAACTTAAAATTGGAGGGTTTGATAACTCCAATAGTAATTATAAAATATGCACTTTAGACTGGAGGACCTAATTACTCCATGTTTGAAGTTATGTTTTAAACGTTTTAGTGTATAGGTTTAATGTTTACAGTTATGTTGTTTATCGTTTGATAATTAGTTATTTTTCTTATTGTAAGTTGCAATATTATTGTTTACTGATACATTGTAAGTTGACTTTTGTGTTACATATTATGTAGCTCTATAAAAGCACTAGATTTTTCCTTTCCAAAAAAATAAAAATAAATAAATAATAATAATAATAAAAAAGCACTAGCTTTGTCCCTCAAAGCAATACCCAAGCTATATCTCATAAATGCATACAAACACAAGACAACGACGAACAAAGGATTATTATTACTTTTTCTTCTTAATAAATGACGAAATACTAATGTTGAGGGCACAACTCTGCGAGACACAGAACGTGAGGAGAAAAAAGGTGGTTAAGAGAAAAGTAAACTTGCCAAACAAGCTTGCCCCAGAATAGAATTCATACCAAATGGGACGTTCAACGTTGAACGTTGATAAATAGAAACCAGTGAGGTTTTAGCACCCAAAGAAAAAAATAATAATAATAATGATTAAAAAAAAAAAGAACTGTTGGTGCATTGACTAGGCGCCGCACAAGTAACATAACGGGTTTGTACTTTTCAAGTAAACAAATTCTTATCAGGAAATTACATCCATAATCCACCAAGACCAAGACAATATATAGAAAACTTCTCAACCTAGTCAAAGAAATTTTCATTTTGTGCATTAAAGAATAGTAGTACAAGTTAATTTCACGCCTGAAAACCAAAAAAAAAAAAAAAAATTACATTTTCACTCGTCACGGTAAAAATAAATGAAGCCGGGTTTCAAAAAGATCAAATAATTCACAAGAACGTGTTGGAGCTCCCAACAGGAACTAACCGCCGTCTCTCGTTGTAATGACATCTTACAAATGGTGGGAAGTTAAGCGCCCTTCCATGGCTTGAGAACTGCCACGACAATGATTACAACAATGATAAGAAGGATCATGATTGCAATGCACATCCACTTCCTGGAACTCTTCTGTAGCGATTTGGCCCGTGAGCGGTATTTCCTTGTTGCACATGATCCACGGCACTTGAAACCTGGAACAGAAAATTGCATGATTAATTTGACTTAAAAATGTCATTAAGGGATCGATATTCCATGAAAGATTCATTGAGGACGCTCTATAGTTTCATGGAGGGTTTAGATTTCAAAACATTGTGTACCTGTGTTTCTATGTTGTCAAGTAAGTCCCCTTGGGCATCCACCAACACTGCCATATCCAGGAATATCTGCGCAGTACACGCAATTTCAATAACCAACCTAATATATGTTCTACCATCCAAAACAATAGACTCTTCGCCTTCCAGGAAGGAAAAAGGGGGGGGGGGGGAAAAAAAAAAAAAGAAGAAGAAGAAACCTCTTTCTCATTCTCAGTACAACCTAAAAGCCCCATTCTTTCATGAAAAAACTGCTGAGGGGTTCCAATCCCCAACCCCACAAGAGAGGAGGATGGGCATTCACCACTTGGACAGGGGCCCGCCTACTTGTCAAGCCATCCACTCTTTTAGGGATATCCTTAATTCCTTTCTTGCTTCAAAGCAATGGATCAAGTTCTAGGAAAGGAACCCGTTGATGAGCGAGTGAGCACATTTAAAGGCTATGTATGATTATTCAAGACCATTGACTTGGCCTATCGAGCCTCTCAACGCCTTTTTTGAAGGCCATCTGATTGGGGCACAGCCAATGAAATAACTACTTAGCTGTTTACGCTTTACTATTAAAAAAAAATACTTTTCCCCACGAGATCTCGCAAACCAAAGTTAACAGGTGGAATCTTTGTGCAAATTAATATAGGAAACAGTATCTAACATCTTTTGCTAAAAACAGTATCTTACATCTGAGCCAATTGAAGTTCAAACTTTAAGTTCAAATCGCCTAGGTTATGCATTGTGTGCGCTATATAGCGAGTTTGATACCTTGTATCAGTCCAACAAACTCATAAGTACCTGTTGTAGATCAAGAAGTTTCCTCTCCACATCTCTAACAGCATCATGTCGCTCTTGAATTTCTGCGAGTGTATCCATTATCTGCAAACACAAGAACATATTTTTGTAACTCAATTATTTTTTTTTAATAAGAAAAACTTTATTCATTAGATGAATCAATTACAAAAAGAGGATAAGGTATCCTCACTGAAAAGAACAAGAACAAAATACAAGTACAAAAAATGAAGAAGCTTATGAGCTATTACATCCTTCCAGTTCATTACAACATAAAGAGGCTGTGAATTTTGCTTTCTCAAAAAGATCAATAATATCCATCTCCTTTTCCTAAAAAATTCTGGCGTTTCTTTCTGACCACAAGGTCCAAAGGACGGATAGAACCATACTTTTCCACAACACTTTAGACATGCTATTTAAATTCAAACCAGCCAAACTTTCTATCAAAACCGAGCTACAGTGAGCTGGCATAGCCCAAAAAAACCAGCTTCAAAAATTATTTTCTGCCAAACCAATGTGGCCACCGGACAATGTATGGTCCACAGATTCCCCACTACTTCTGCAAAGGACACACCAGGAAGGGGAAACTGCCATACGAGGGTTTCTTTTCTGAACCCAGTCTCAATTATCAATATGGACTTTCTCAAAATCAGGCATTGTTCCTGGATTCCTAGTAGCCGGGGAATATTTAGCCTTCTACTCACCCTTGTAACGTGCAAAAAATAAGAACAAAGTGCAATAAAATAATTGAATGGGGAGATAAGAAAGGGCACATTTACAAGAACTTAGTGTAATTAGGTTTCAAATCTGACTAGCAAGGTCAAACATGGGCTGAAATGTGTGATAAAAATATTGTTCCGTAAGTCATTCAGCTTTTAGGTAAGACGAGAGAAAGTAGGGAATTGGGTAGGAGAAAGGAAAAAGTGACAGACCCGGAATCGACCTTGTTCCTGGATTGCCTTCTGAAATATTTGTTCACCATCTCCAGTCTCAACTAATCTGTCAATTGTCTGCACATTGTTAAATAATCAATTAGAGATTAAGCTTACAAAGACGGAACTATTTAGATTCACAAGAGCAAAGATTGATTCACCTCTTCATCAGCTTCTTTACCCGTTACTGATGACCAGGAAACCGACGGGAGAGAAGGGGGGAAAATGAGTATATGTTATGTAAAATCCAATAAATCAAGTTGCAGAAATAATAGCTATAAGTAACATCAGAAGGGTTCTTAACCTGTAAATACACGCCTCTCAACAACTTCTCGATATTCTTGATGGATGTTTTCCCTTAGAGTCTGCAAACATACTTAAAATGACAAAGGAACAAGTGGTGCTGCTGCAAAAACTCACACAAAAGACATGTCCAACCTACCTGAAACTCAGCCATCTTGTCCTTCAATCTCTTTTTCAGGGCACTGCAACAAAAAAGGTTGTGGTTGATATCCATATACTACACTTTGGAAAAATTATACCTTTGAAAAATAAATAAGAAAAATAAAGCATAGAGAATAAAGGAATATGCTTCAACGGTTTTGACAGAGGCGTGTATCACCTTAGAGGAAGTGTTATCTAAAGCAAAAAACATTAATTGAAAGCAATATTTGCTAGCAATACTGCATTAATGGGAACAAACATATTTGGAAGAAATCTATACAAAGGAAAACCATATCTCCTCAGAACTCTGGCATTTGAACAATTTACTATAATGAAAAGATGTCAATATGTTTCTAAAACATTGTTTCTAGCTGCCGTCTTTTCACTTTATCCTAGCAAGAACAAGAAACGATTCTATTCAGAAACTTCTCGAAGCTGCATCCAGATTAAACCATTTTCTTGACAACTTCACATTCAATCAACAAAAAAGCTATAAGAAACTCATCGAAGTCGCTTCAATCTTAACAAGAAAATACTTGCTTTAAGCCTGAATTATCTGGTAGATTTGTTTATTCAAAGGTTTCAAAGTAAAACACCCAAATAACTAGTTTCATCATTGGCATATTTATCTACCACTTAGAAAATGAGAAGGTGCTTTTGTAGTGCATGTAAAGAAATGAATAGAGAACACTAGCATAGCACCTGAATTCATAAATGGATTGTTTTCTCTATCAAGAATTTTTCGCTGATATTATCTCTTAATATCTGGAGGTCTCTCTTTCTTACGAAGGGAAACGTGTAAGGCAACATTAGAGGATAACTTACAGAGTTGTTGACGTTCTTGACCGATCTACACCAGTACCTTTTCCACAACCTGGCTTCTGTCTATTTGCTAAACTCTGCAACAAAAATAGAAATGAAATCAAACTACCTATTCAAATCCTACAAACCACTTGAATAAAGCTGTGACGGATTTTTACATCTCGGTCAAGATCCTCAATTTTTGACTTCACCAAAAGAGCAACTTTTCCAACTTCATCAACATCCTTCTCCATTCGCTGCTTGATTGCTTCAGACAATGACAACAGCCATTAGTCTTCAAAAGGAAAAGAAAAAGAAAAGAAAAAAGAAAAAGGAAAAAAAAAAGAGAAAAAAGGACGTGGGGTGGGATGGGGGGGGTGGAGGATGGGGATAAAAAAAACTCACCTAATCAGGGGAGAAACTATACAGTGATATGTGTTCTCTCCTATTCAGGAGATCATAAATTGGGAGCAGAACTGAGGACAGGTATCAATAACATATAAGGGGAAAAAATGTCCATTGCAGCAAAACATCCGTATGATTTCTCTCCTAATTTTGAAACCACCCCCTGCTTGGCAACTCTCTCTCTCTCCATTTAACAAAGAAAGACAGATAAAACCCCCATTTTTTTCTCGCATTTTTGTTTTTTTCCTTCATGGAAAGTTTCCTCTTTACACACACACACACACACATATAAGAAAAAGCACACAGCTATGGAGCATAAAATTTAACAAGTTTTGCAAGAAACTAAAGAATACTACAAGCTAGAGATTACCTTTCATGGCAGGAGCCTTAGTAACAGCCTTAGATTCTTCATGCGCATCCTACACAAGATTGGATTATTAATGTTAACCTAACTAAAGTTTATTTTGATAATAAACAGAAACCTTTATTGATAAAAGATTAATCAATACAAGGAAGAAGAATAAGATGAGATTTGAGGTTACCAAACTGCAAAAGCATCATTACCAAAATGCGGCACTTTCCACTTGTCTACGTTGTTATTTCAATTAGCCCGGTAGCTCAGTTGCTTGACAGATACTACTATTTTATTTTTTTTTTGGTAAAGTTGTCAGATATTACTATTAAGATAACTAACTTCTTCAAATAAGTCTAATGACATGTACACTTGGTCGGACATATTACATTTTTGGTCTTTTTCACGTTTGAAATTTTCAAGACATTGAGAGAATGTTCTAGAAGAACTAGTTGAAAGGTTAGGATCTCAACAAACCAAACCATTAATGAATTGAGAAAAGAAAAATCAAGTTTTTCTACATAAAGCTGAAAAGGAAACAATAAGATAACTTTCATATTTACAGGTGTATTTAGTAACATATCCAAATGTGTTTCTTCGTGTGTGTCCTCACTTTCCCACACAGGATTAGTAATTCAGGTAGATATGTGTGTACCTGGAGCTTTCTCAGCAGCTTATCTAGCTTCTCATTTTGCTTCTCAATCTCTTGGACCTTTTTCAGAAAACAAGTAAAAATAAGGTAAGTCAAAAATAAAAACATCATACTTGAGATGAATAAATTTACACATAAAAGCTTTAAATGCACACTTTTATTGCATGAAAAGTTGAAATATAAAGATTAGAGGATTTTATATATATATATATATATATAAGAGCCAAATCAATATAAAGGAAACAAAAGGCAGTCAAAGACAATAGAACCGCTCGCGTCACAAGAATGGCGTGCCATATCACCTTTTTAAAGAAATTCGCCAACCCTTGATCTTCCGCATTCACAGGTGCTTGCATGCCTAGTTCAATATCTCCATTCCTAGAAGTTTGACCCCGAGGGATCTCAAAAGAATCCTGCAAACAGTCATCAAGTTAGTGCAAACAACTTACAACTTACAAGCTTTGTCCAAACTACATGAGTTCACCACCATCAATTATTTGACCACTTTGCTCTATGCTAATACATGCAAAGATAATGTAGTTTTAGAAACATATATAAGACCATACTGAATAAGAAGAAAACATAGTAACAAGCACTAACAATGAGATGAAAGAAAACTCCCAAATATGATTTGATACGGAAGCATTACCGCACCCAATTGATAATGAAAAGGAAACGGATGCAGTCATACCAACAAGCATTTGCTCAACTACACTAGTACTTCTTTGCCCTTCAAATCTTGACAAATGCAATATTTTGCGATCTACAACTACCTCTCACAATCTCATTGCCTTCCATTTTAATCAATTTCACTTCATTTAATGAGATTACAGAAAATCTCATCTGGTTACAATCACATCTAGAGCCATTCTTTTAACTGAATATCTATGTTCTTACTTTATATTTCTTCTTCTTCACGCTCCCATGCGATCATTTGTAAACATGTTGATTATTAGCATTCCAACATTGTAGCTATATACAGAATATTTTGCTTCCTATTCCAAACTTTTTTTTTTAATCCAATATTCATACAACGTTAGTTCTTTTCTTTTTTTCAGTTATATATTAGATTATAGAATTAGAATTTATTATCTAACAAAGACGTATCAAATTCCCATAAACCTTAAAACGGATTAGCTTAGTTTTGGCAGATCTTTCTAAACTAATTCCAATTCATAATAAATAATGCTAAGCTTAGATAGATCTGAACTGTTTCAAACACGGGAAAGAAGACCCCTTTTGTTTGATTGCTGGGAAATTGAAAATTGAAAATTAACTATTGGTAGTTCATGCCAATTCAGCTTCGAATAAGGCTGATCAATTTATAGTATTTAGCCTTGACAACGAATAACAATACCATGATTCATAAATAATAATAAAATAAAATAATAATAATAATAATAATAAAATAAATTAAAAAAAAAACATGATTCGTAGAAGTCTCAGCTCTCTAACTTTTACCAACCAAACAAAAAAATGCAACAATACAATTTCAATTATAATAAAACCCCGATCCAATAAAATTCAAAGCAATCAGATCAAGACAAAAACTGAAGAAGAAACCCTCCAAACACGTCGAAACAATCGACAACCCCATAAGCAACCCAAAAAAAAAAAGGAAGAATACCGATAAGAGGTCATTCATTGTAGAAGGCTGCTGAGGAATCCGAAGCAGAAATTCAAAAATTAGGAGCTCGAAAACAACCACCTGGCTTTGATTCAATGAAAGGAATTCAGTGAAAGAAGCTGGTCAGTTTAGGGTTTCCAGGAGAGAGAGAGAGAGAGAGAGAGAGAGGAAGGAGAAGAAGAAGAAGAAGAAAAGAACGTGGCTTTGTTGTTTCAAAGCTGGAAGAAGACAGACAGATTGGAGAAGACAGATTGTGCGCGTTTTGCTTTCCATCGTGTTGGCATTTTTTTTTAATTATTAAAATTAAGATTATTATCACTTGTGTCCTTAAATATCGGGGGTGATTCTAGTATCATTTATTTTATCAATTTGAATTTAAAATTTAAATTTTGTTACAGTTAAAAATTTTAAAAAATAATCACATTTAATTTTTTTGTTATAATAAAAAACTCTCATGTAAAATTATATCTCAACTCAAATTAATAAATTAAACGAACCCTTAATTTATTTCTAAAATTTAAAAAAATTTCCTACCTTATGAATTTTAAGTTGTTTTTAGTTAATCCTTTTTGTTGGAATCCTATTAAAAACATATTAAAAAAAAGTAATGTAGTGCCATAATTTTTCTGTTTGAATATTTGTTTAAAATAAACGGATAAAGACACATGATCACACTTAACTTTTTTTTCTATCTTATTTCAACAAATTTTCTCATAAAAATGTTTAAATGAGACTAATCTAAAATTCTGAAGCAAAGAGAGAGTTTTCAAAATTTAAGAGACAATCTAGATATGACTCTTAAATTTAAGAAAACCAATAATAATAATCTTTATTATTATTATTTATTAATTTATTTACATATACTAATTTTAAAACATGCTCTGTTGTTGTGTTAGAACCGCTTAAGTAGTTTATTATTTACTATCTAACCATTTAAGTTTTGTTGAGCTTATTTTAAAAATAGTTTTATAACATTCCTTGAAACAAAACTTCGTTTTGATTTTCAACACTTAATAGTAGATGGGATCTACATGATTATAAACCGAAAAGAAAATATTTAGGTGACGTTTAGTTTGGTAGAATGTAGCGAGAATAGGAATAAGAATAGAGATATGATAGAATAAGAATTGAAATAGATCAAATGATTTATTCAAATTCCATTATTTGTTTGAGTATTAGAATTAAAATTAAAATCACAATTATTATGTTTGGTTAGTTATTAGAATAAAATGGAGTAGTAAGTGTTCACTAAAATACCTCTTCATCTTATTCATTAATAATGTTTAAAACTAAATTTAAATATTTTTCAATTTATTTTTATTCTCTTTAAATGTTCAAGGTGAATATTTTATTTGATGTATAACCAACATTCAAATAATTTTAATTTTGATATATGACTAATTAATCAAATAACAAAATTATTAGTTTCATGGGATACACACCTAACACAAGCAATTTAGCCCAAAAAAACAACAAAATAAAGCAAAAATACTAATTTAAAAACGTGTGTTAGTCAAACAAAGAACGAATCTAACACAAACAATTTAGCAAAAAATATATATGAAAAAAAGAGAGCAACAAGGAAATAAAGCAAAAATATTATAACATTGGGTAGTGAGAAGGGTATTTAAAGTAAATTTTATAACACTGGGAGGGATAATTTAGGAAAGGAGAATTTTAATTAATACAAGTTTTAAAATAGAAGGATCATTCAAGTGGTTGAGATTAGGAATTGCTATTCAGTCATTTGATAGAACAACAATTTCATAAGAATAGTCATTCCTAAGTCTTTTTTAAGAATTATCATTCTATTTTAATAGTCATTCCATCAAACTAAACGCACCCTTAGTGTAAAAAAAAGTAGAGAGAAAACTACTTAAGATATATGTGACAAAATAGTGTTATAGTAGGGGGATTAAAAAAAAAAAAAAAAAAAAAAAAAAAAAAAAACAGGACATTTCAGTGAAATAATTTTTTATAGGGGTCACTTTTTATAGATGAAGAGTTATTAGCATTTTACATTTATTTTAAAGAAGTATAAACTTTTCAATCAAAATATGTATTTTGGTTGGATATCACATATGTATAGGTAAGTAAAACATATATGAAAAGAAATATTTTAACAAGCAAATAGGATAAAAATTAGTTATTAAGCAACATATATAACAAATAGTAGTTGAGAGAGCAATATGCAAAAAACAAAAAACAAAAAAAAAGTTTAAATAGCCTAATAGAGACTTATTAGAAAAATTACCTTTATCAGTAACAAATTAAAAAATAATAATTGGAAAGGCAGCGAGAAAAAAAAAACTATCTAAAAAGAGATATGTTTGAGGGAAAAAATTGTTTTATTAGTGGCTCACTTTAAAAGAGAAAATAAAAATATTTTTAGAAGGATCGAAAGAAAATATTGCATAAGAAATTATGTAAGAAACAGATTGCAACCAAAATATTTTAATAAGGACAAGGGAGGAAACAAAATTACAAAAACCCAATCGGAAAAGAATTAAAATGTATATAAGAAATCAAAATTAGAGAAGAAAAGAAGTAAGGATGCACTTGAAGAGCAGTATTTTAACGAAATTAAACGATAAAAAAATATTTTAAAAAGACAGATCATAAGCAAAAGTATATCTAAATACAATTATTTCAGTAAGATAAATAAGAAAAAATATTTTATTGACATACATCTTAAAACATAAGATTATAGAAAAAAAAATGAGGGAAAATGCTATAAGATAATAAGTAAAAAAAAAAGATTGAGGGACAGTAATAAAAGAAATTGTGTAGGAACTTTTAGGAAACAAAAAAAAAAGGATGAAAAAAGTAAAGGAAAAAAGTTAAAATAAAAGAATGAGAAGTTGCCATGTGATGAAAGGAGAAGTGATGACTAAACCCCACTTTATCTCTTTTTTGTATGTAAAATATAAGATTATAAAAAAAATTAGAGAAAGATGTTATAAGATAACAAGTGATAAAAAAAAATTGGACAATAATAAAAGAAATTGTACAGGAGCTTTTAGGGAAAAAAAAAGATTGGAAAAAGTAAAGAAAAAACAAAAAAGAAAAAAAAGAAAAATTGAAATAAAAGAATAAGAAGTTGCCATGTGGCTAAAAGAGAAGTGATGACTAAAGCTCACTTTGCCTCTTTTATATATGTATATGTAAGGGTCTGTTTGGTAAGAGGGATGGATACGACATGAGAGAAGGGGAATGAGAAAAAATTAATGGATTGTAACTTTACTCAAATTTGTTTAGTATGATAGGAATGAATGATTATTGTTATGGTAGTTCTATTCACACATTTTTTCTTTTTTCTTTTACTCTCTGCACCCCCTTTCTAACTATACACCCCATATAATTTTTAAATGATTTAAATTTTCTTTTAACACACTCCTATTATTCTAAAAACTACCATCGTCTATTTTCATTAAATTATTAAGGACGGTTTTGTTCACACCCCTATCTTTTCTCTACACACCTACCTCTTTATTCTCTATACCCCTTTCTAGCTATACACCTCATATAAATCAATTTATTACTTTAATATTATCTTTTGTTTATTTCTCTTTATTTTTTTATCTATTATCTTTTGTTTTGTAATAGCATGTAAAAAGAAACCTTTTAAAAAAATTAGTAAAAAAAACGATTTTGTAATATATAATTCTCATCGTGCGGATTTCTCAAAAAGGAAAAAAAACAAAAAAAAAAACAAATAAACAAGAAGAAAAACATTCTTTGATTTTTGTCACATGAGAAGTACTAAATTCATTTGTGTAGTCTATTTGATAATTTGAAATAATATTATTGCATTGAATAAAGATGTCATCCTGTAAAAAAAAAAAAAAAGTGTCCAAATACGAAGGAAAAAAAATAGCAAATTAAACAATTCACAAAAAAGAAAACTAAAAATAATACATAAAGAAAGTAAATTTAAAAAAATAAAAAACGAAAGGTGATTTGCATTTCATTCATCAATTATTCAGATTTCATAGCAGACAAAGTGCGAGCAGACAAAGTGCAGTAAGATATATACAACTACAAGCACAAGCGTTTGAGCAAAAAAAATCAGAGCACAAGCGGCATATTTAGAAGAGAGATAGTGAGAGAGTAGAAGTAAAGGGAACTATAATCTAAAATTAAAAAAAAACGACAAAAGATAAAATGATTAGCTTAAAAAATTGATTAGCTAGACACAAAACGAAAAACAATAACAAAAAAAATTTAACATACCTCCATATAATTTTTTGGAATTTAGTGATTAAAAGGTAGAAATTAAGTTTTGCTATGAATTTTTGAAATAGAAATAATTTATAATTTGGCAAAATGATATTGAGGGATGTGTGAAGAGAAAAAAGACCTTCTATCATTAGTTTCTCTTTTGTAATAAAACTTGCTTATATAATTAAGTCTATTGTCCTTTTTTTTCTCATTTTATTTAAGGGTATTTAAAAGAAGATGAGAAGAGTAAAAAGAGATGTGTGTATAGAACCACCCTTATTGTTACCATTCTCACTTGTTTGGTATTTGAAAGAAAGAAGGGGAATGATGGGTTTCATTGGTAAAATTACAATATTGTCCCTGAAAAATAACTGATTTTCTTTCTTATAATGTCTATTGATTAAGCATTAATAATGTTATACTCAATTTTCTTCAAATAAAATCTCTAATATTCAAATTGCATACATAAACACTAAACTTTTCAAACAAATTTTATCCATAAGAACATTTTACAGAAAAAAAAAAAAGATAAAGAACTTTTTAGTAAAAAGAAAAATTTTAAAAATTTGAAAAACAATTATTATCATTTAAAAAATTAAAAATGACTCGGCAACGCTTAGGGATGGATGGCAAGATCACCTGATCATAACGGAGGAACTGGTCCAAGGCAGCATGTAGTTCTTTGTTAGAGCACGACAGACGAGGCAAGAGAGCTTTCTTCGATAGCGGAGGTGAAAAGGACTTCGTTGGTGGAGGAGGTGCTCTCGGAGCAAGTTTACTCTGCAGAGGATTTCATTGTGAGACTCCTCAAGAATTCCAAGTGCAGCCACGATATCTAGAATTGTGGGTTGCTTTCTTTCCTCATGGTTGCTACTGATGAGTAGTGTTGTGTTGTGAACCGGAGGTTTTCAAATCCCAATAAATAAATAATTTATTTATCGGATATGTAATAAGTTGAGAATGGTGTTCTAAAAAGCATGAGATGTAAATAATGATATTATTTATTTAATAAAAGAGAAATTTCATTATTTATGTGCATATATTATTGAA